TAAATGACAAAATAATGTAGTTTTCATAATATAACCTCAAATATCACAACAAAACGTGTTTTTGGCACTTTGAGGTTAGGATATCTCAAAATCCTGACGAGCCAAATTTGGATTCAGAACCAAAAAAACTATACGAAACGATATGTTTCACTCAGGTGGTAAAATTTTACTGCACTGTGTTATATATCCGCACAAGTATAAAAATTAATTTAAATTAATTGCGACAAAATCAATTTTTTTCGCGTAGCATCTACTTTACGCTCATCCCATGACTGCAAATATGCATTCTTATCAAAAATTCCTTTTGGTTTGGATTTGTTGGACATTTTACTATGAATATACCTAATTGCTTTTTCAGAATTCGCTAATCCGTTTTTACTACTTTTTGCCTCTGTAGTGCCATTGTGCGCCAGCATCATTTAGCTTATTTCCACATTTTTGTTGCCCTCGATATTTTAAATTTTTTATATTTGTAAGTTATTGGAAGATTTTTGCTGTGTTGACAACAACATGTATGCAGTAAAAAAGCATTTAATTCATGTTTCAAAAGTGTGTGAAAACAAATCAATCAACTTACATGTACCCGGTTCCGATAATAAATAATCAATAATTGGTTATACCCGCATTTTGGCACTGATTTGAATGTAACAAATAGTGCCGTACTCCTTAGCTGTGTTTCAATGATGTAAAAAAATGTTCTTTCTTATTTAAATTTAAGTACAAAGTACTCAACAATTCTACATTTTGATAAAGGTACACCTAATTGACTTTTATATGAGAATTACAAAATATGAAAAAAATTCCAGCTTACTCTTATACGGAAAAAACTGAGTTATTTCTTCTGTCTGTCAAAAAATATAAGAAGCCAAGTTGGGATTCAATTCAATCACGTTTTATCTAAGGATAGTGCCTTTTATATAGAAGAAAATGCCTAGCACCGTCAGCCAAATTATTAAAAATCAACAGGATTTCATAGCGTCTTGAAATTTTCACTTTTAAATTAAAATTAATGGGCTATAAAACTGCGCACCTAGAACAAAAAGTTCAAAATTGTTGGGTGTAATTGTTAAAGTTTGTTGAATTTTTATAATTTTTTTTACCAAGTTTGAAATGTGGATATATGTGGTTCTGGTTATGTATTGTGCTAGGCTTTTATAAAAAACTAATAACATTAAATAAACACAAGAAAAAACCAAAACTGCTCAAAATGTTTATTAACTTAATCAGCAGGGTATATAAGTAATTGGCGAGTCCGCGCTTCCCCACCCCCTCCTTCCCTGCGTTCACCTCAACAAACAAGTAAAGCTTATCAGCCCTGAAAACCTACCTCTTTCACGGGTGGGACATGCTTCACTGTTGAACTATTCCATTAACTATGTGGAAACGAAAATGTAATTTTGGTAAACAGTTGCAATCAAGTTCTAACATTATGTAAAAAACCTGAAACTTAACTTCAACTTCTGTAATTAAATATAACAACTTATGGTTTTTTTGTCACGGGTGGGACAAGACCAATAATAACTCATAATATAGATAAAACGCTCACACAATTTAATATATAACACAATTTTATTAAAAGCAGATGAGTTTTACTATATATTTTTCTTACCAAATACTTGAATTATCAATCGCAAATTATCTGACAGTACTTTCAACACAACCTACTTTCAACTCATTCAAAAAATTGACTTAGAACTTGATTTCAAATCGTAAGAAAAGGTAATAAAAATGCATCTAAAGCTTTAATTTATTATTTTTTGGTTGATTCAAGATTTTAATTATCCACACGTTTGTTAGTTTTATAAAGAAAATAATTTTTGCATTGAGGCTCAGTTTACCATGGAACCTCCGAGTGTAAGAAAATTCCTTTTCTATTATTGTTTCCTTATAACTATATAAGGTTTCTTTTCTACCTTACACATTCCGAATTTGTTCAAAATATGCTAATTTAAAAACATTCATTTCAGTGTTTCTCCGGGGTTTTTGTACATGGCGGCAATCCACTGTTTCGTCAATTTAATAGTGTTCGCTTTGTTTTTGGAAACGAAGTATGTTTTGCAATTTCTTGATCATTTCTACATTCTCTCTTCAAATACTTCTCGTATTCCAGCTCTTTTTGCGTTTGGTTTTTCGCATCGTGGTTTTTTAATAAAATCAATTGGTGGTGGGGCATGATTGTGTGTTGATTAATAGCACTGAGGATTTGGCGATAACCTCTTCCATCTATGGAAACAACACTTACGGGGCAATTTTTATTGTAGCCACATTCGTATCTCACGTACGATGCAAGAGCAACATTTCTTTTTTTTTGAATCGACATACATTAAGAATTGTTGACGCTATTTCCATTTGAATGAGGTGATGCTATTTACTCGCAATAAAACCAAGTGTTTCCTGAAAGGGCCTGACAGGGTGGTAGCAAAAGAAGAAGGATCTACAAGCCCTGATAGGACTGATTACGGGGCACAACCAATGGGGACCATATATGTATAGTCACCATAGGCATCATCGACGACCCACTGTTTACATGTGTTACGTGTTTTGAGGACGAGGTTAGTACAGCACATTTTCTCTGCTGATGTCCGGCCTTCACCATACTCAGACGGTACAATTTTGGGTGGGATGTATTGAGAATGGACGAGGTACATTCTCTTTGCCTCAACAAACTACTAAAATTCATAAAGGAGTTTGGTAAGTTTGCAGATGAGCAATGAATTCGCATCGCCACATACATATCCCTCTCCCCTAAATCCTAACTCTTGGCCTTAAGTACAATGGGTAATACTGCTTAAGTGCTTGGACAAATTTGTTTTTTTTTCGGCCATCCACAAATCTTCTATTCCATTTCATTCCTTGGATAGTCGGCTCTTCTTGCCCAATCAGCTGGCATTGTGGAATGGTTCAACCGAACGCTGTAAGAACATTCGAAAAAAAGGCGTGGAAAAGGTTCAAAAAGATTGGGATATCAGTCAGCAGTGCATGAAACAACGGGCAGAATTCCTGATGGATGGGGTGAAATAACACAAACGGCAATAACGCAAAATTTGCTTTATTTCACTTTTAAATGGGCTGGAAATAAAACAAATTTTGCCTTATTTCCCATTGCTTATTTATGCTATTTGGGCGTGTGGGAATCGGTCGACATAGCGCTTTTGTATGAATTTTGTCTGAATGCTTTCTAATATGTTGAAAAATTGCTAGAAAACCTTAAAATGTGTGCACGAAACGCAGCATATAACACAGATAATATTCTTTTTTTATCTTCAGTTAAAATTTCTGCCTTATCATCACTTGCTTGCTTAACTATTTCCGAACTGCGGATTTCGTTTACGAAGACAAAGCGAACATGTGGTACGAAATTGTTATGTAAAAATATATAAAATTTTACCTGCTCTCAGACTTCTAAATTTGAACGTATATTAGGACCAAGCAGGTGGGATGAATGGCGCAATAAAAATGAAGTAATAAAACAGCTTTCCCGCTTTATTTTCGAACATTCGGCTGCCTTATAGTCAGGTTTTATAGGCAAATTTTCATAGAAGGTAGTATCAAAATCTTTCTTCTCATTCTAAAATCACTTCACCATGGGTGGTGCATGCAATAACACCATACGCAATAATTCCCATTATTTAGACATAAAAAAGCAGCTTCAGAAGTGAAGTAGTGTCATTTTATTATTATTCTTTTTTTTCTAAACGGTTATAGTGCCACCAGTGCATAATTGCGAAAGGAGGGGAGGGGGCCAGGGGACGCGAGCGCGACGTCGAACGCGGTGCGGCGCGAACGCAGACCGCCGCGACGCTGGGCACTTTCAAAATTGTATACTTACAAATCCGTCCATTTAAATTGTTCATGTACTACTTTTTGTCAGATGTAACTGGGTGACTACCTATGTACACTATTTTGCTTTATTACTCAATTGTTAAATACCTAAAACGTATAAAGCACAAAAACGATTTTAATAAGGATAACTGTCTGCGGATGGACAAAAATGGTATAAAAGGGGCAGCATTGTGCATTAGCTAGGCATACGTGGCACGCGTCGCAACGTGGGTCACACGGATAGTTAAAGAGGGAACTTACCTCCGAGACTATTACTCTATATTCGAAGTGGGCTTAAACCACAGAGACTGGTGCTAGCTGTAGGGTTTTTAACCTACTCTAGTTCTACGCTTTAGAGAGTAGATATAGCGAGAATATAGTAAATAAAGAGGCTGTAAACTAGAAGCGAGTGTGTTCTATATTTTTTTGCAGATTGCACTTAGGAGAGTCCGTTACAACAGACAAACGCCAATTTAAGCGCATGAATAAAAATTAATTTCCTAGTGATTCCGTAGAAAACGTATCTTTCCAAGATTCGCATGACGGAGAGTTCTTTAAGGGGAGTTGATTTACATTTTCGAGACAACTGATGAAAAAGGCTGTTAGTGTTGTTTTGATGGCTCACCGTAATAACTAAAATAAAATAAATAAATTAAAAAATTGGTTTCGAATGCTTCCTAATTCCTATTCCCAATATGCAAAGGAAATTCTAGGGGAACGTAGAATTCTTTTTGTAGGTTAAGCAATACATATCGCTCGTTTGATTGAAAAACGTCATAAGTGAAAAGGAAATTGTGTCAAGGACGTTGGTGCCCCTTTTATTTTCTGTAAAAAATTTAAAATGTTAAATCATTACGAAATTTGTCTTTCTTGTCATTTCCATAAAATTAACCAAAGAATGGTTTGAAACAGATTTTTCCTCTACACTAAACTAATATCCTCGATATTTTTTTAGTTATTATTTATTTTTGTTGTTGTTGTTTGCGGAAAACCTTATTAAGATCTTTTCCTTGCATTTCTTAGTATTTGGGATTGCGATCTTCAAGAAAACGTGTGATTTAACGGAATGTCCATCAATCGAGAATTTTAAAAATTTTAAACCTCTTTGCTTAAAGAACGATTTCCAAAAGAAACGTATAAATAAATAACTTATACATTTTAGTGTCTTATATACTTACCCTTTTTGGGTAAGGGAGGTAATGCTCTTGATTGAAATTTCTTATGCTTCTCTACAGTGTGTCGACGATCCCGACTGACAGTCATGGGTTCCGTACTCGACGGGTTTGTTTGGAATGGCCGTTGAGTTCGGCGAATACGAAATATATTACAAAACTTTTTCTTCAAATTAAGAGAAAACTGTGTTTTTTTTTCAGTTCGTATAACTTGGAAGGATGAATCTACTTCATCGACCTTTATTAGCCGGTTTTGGGTAATGTTATAGTTATCAGAAAAGACGATTTTATTTATGTTGTTGTTGTTAATTGTGTCATTATTTTCATTACAGTTTTTAAAAGTCCTGGCGCTTAACTTGAATTCACTGTCTTTAATAGAACAAAGATTATTTTGTAACCTTGGAGACGATTCACTCCATATTGTTTCATTAGAACGTTTTACTATATCAGTTTTTACCGACTCATTATTTTTATCTGTTGAGTTATTTGTACTAGAGTAAAGCGTGTGGTAATATTTTTTCACTTCATTCAACGTCATCTGGAGTCGTTCTTGTGGTTCGCCCAATTCTAAGAACGTATGACCATCATTATGTATACCATAATCCTCCGTCGAATCTAAATTAGCCGACTTTTTATTCGTAGATGTAAATGCGTTTGTCATGTCGCTTTCATAATAATCGCTGTTACGTTTTTTTCGTTTGTTTTTATTATTCTTGCGACTTAATTTTGAATGTTTACAGTACCCTTCCTCAGTTAAAATTAAATTATTCAGTTTTTTATATTCTTTAATTGTATCTTCTTTGTTTTGCACTCCGCTATATTTATCTGTTTTTACCATATCTATTGGTAGAGCATATATATCAGAATCTATAGGCACGTTGTAAAAATCAGATATTTCCCTTGTTAGTAACGCATCATGCGACATTGCCTGAGTAATGAATATGGAATCGTCAGGTTTATTTGCAGATGATGTGCGTAATGAGTTATGTGAACTAGAGAGTCTGCTGTTAAGAGAGTTCCTAGAATTTGGTCTATTTGCAGACCCATTTGTTCCTGAAAGTTTCGAAATAAAAAGTACTATTAATTGATATACTCATAATAATTTTGACAGTTAATATTAAAAGATATAGTTTATTAAATACCAGGGGCCCAAAATAACTGATATTATGTACTTAAAAAATTAAAATGAAAAGCCTTAAAATGATCATAAAATAAAATGGTGGACAGCCCGGTCATCCGCATGGCATGGTTTATAAAGATCAAGGATGCTTTTTATTTTTGTGTTTTTTTATTAATTCGGTTTTACTATTAACTTCTCACTTTTATTTTTTCAGTCAGACGATAATAGTTAAAGCAAGCCAAATAATTTGTTTGTAAAAAAGGGGCCTTGCCATAGTAACGAACAAACCGTTAATCCTATATAAGAATTAATGGATTGGAATTATGTTGGAGAATTTAAAAATATATACAGCCTTATCATAAATTTTCATTCCGTATGAACTCGCTCAAGTTTCGCCCATACACTTCACCTATTTATTTATGTTAAACTAGCAAATACCCGGCGTGCTTCACTGCGCCTTAAATAATTTTTGTGCTGTTTGATATCCATTTTTTTTTTTTGTTATTTATGGCCTTATAACAATTATATTCAACAATTTTATTGACCGTGAGGCCGTTTTTTAATGAAAACTATTGTGGAAAATTAACAATAATATTTAAAAATAATATAATAAATAATAAATAAGATTTAAATATTTATGACCTTATAACAATTATATTCAACAATATTATTGAGCTTGAGGCCGTTTTTTAATGAAAACTATTGTGGAAAATTAACAATAATTTATAGATGGTAGAAGTGATAGCTTTTCTGAGATCACCACATCTCCTCATCAGACTTCTTCAGCGGAATTCGAACCGACGACCCCAGATGACTCAGATGAGTAGATGTGGTGATCTCCGAAATAGCTATCAAGGCCTCAAGCTCAATAAAAATTTTAAATATAATTGTTATAAGGCCATAAATAACAAAAAAAAAACAAAATAAATTTAGGACGAGCACACCTAAAAGTTAAACATTCTAAAAATAGTGTTATTAACGAAAACCAACAACCACATGATCAAGTGTGAATTGCAGCGGGATAGCTGCGCTTGATTGTAGTTGGCTCACATGAAAAAAGTGGAAAAAGCAGCAACTGTTTATAAGACGAACTTAGCACAGTGTGTAGGCAACTGGCTGAGTCAGCTGGGGTCGTCGGTTCGAGTCCCGCTGAAGAAGTGTGATGAGGGGATATGGTGTTCTCCGAAATGGCTATCACTTCTACCATTTATAATTTATTGTTAATTTTCCATAATAATTTTCATTAAAAAACGGCCTCAAGCTCAATAAAATTATTGAATATAATTGTTATAAGGTCATACATAACAAAAAAACAAATAACTTAAGGACGAGCACACCTAAAATTAAACATTCTAGAATTATTAACGAAAACCAACAACCACATGATCAAGTGTGAATTGCAGCGGAATAACTTGCGTTGGTTCACATGAAAAAAGTGGAAAAAGCAACAACAGTTTATAAAACTAAGCACAGTGCGTAGGCAACTGACTGAATCAGCTGAGGTCGTCGTTTCGAACTCCGCTGAAGAAGTCTCATGAGGTGACGTGGTGATCTCCGAAATAGCAATTACGTCTACCATTTATAATTAACTGTTAATTTTCCTCAATAATTTTCATTAAAAAATGGCTTCAAGCTCTATAAAATTGTGGAATCCATTTTTAATATTTAATTGAATACAATTTTTCAAGCAGAAGGCTACCATCCCCAAAAATATTTTCGGTAGCAAACTTTCCTAAACCTCTTTAGCTTGATACCCATATTGCAATATTATCTTATATCTTACAAGTTAAATTAAATTAAAATTTTCAAACAGGTGGCAACCTTCAACAAAAACATTTTCGGCTGTAAGCCTTCTTAAACGTCTTTCTTTTAGCAGCCATATTGAAATATTTACTTTATCAATTTACTTAAACTACAATTTTCAAACATTTAGCAACTTACTAATTTTTTCTTTCTATATTTTAAGTTAATACATCGGTGAAAACTGCATTCGAGTGATGCGCATACAAACCAAGGTTCGGAAATATTAATATATGAACGTTCGCGTACATACGTTAATGATTTTATACGCAAACGTGAACGTATCTCTACGTATTCTGCTTCGCGAACGAGAAGCATAAAACAAGTCCAGATCGTTCGCGAATGTTAGGTAGACAAAATTTCCGCTGTTGTTCGTACGCATATGTATTGGTGGACCATGATTCAATAATAGAAAGGTTTGGTAATAAAACAGTCTTCTCGCTCCCACACATAAAATCGGCTGCTTTACTTGTGCAGAATGTTGCTCCCTCTACAGTTTCTGGTTATATTAGTAGTAAAATTTTTCATACTAAATTTTCGTTTTTTTTTTAGTGGCTTGACTGTCAACGTGTGCGGACCTGTTTTTTAATCGCTCCGCAGAGAAATTATTAATAATTCACGTAAAGCAAAGAAAAAAAACAGAACCAACGCGAAAAGACAATACTAGGCATAAATAAGCTTTCTGCTTCTTCTTCTTCTTATTTGGCGCTGTAACCGCCTAAGCGATTTTGGCCGAGTCCAAAACAGCACGCCAGTCATATCTCTTCTGTGCTAACTGACGCCAATTGAAAATGCCAAGTGAAGCCAAGTCCTTCTCCACCTGGTCTTTCCAACGCAGAGGAGGCCTTCCTCTTCCTCTGTTCCCAGC